TTTATACTTACTGAATATCTCTTTTCCTTTAGGTGATCGACATATTAAGTAGAACCCTAGGTTTTATTCCCGGGTTCATGTTCATCCAAGAGGTTCCTTATTTTGATTTTTTGAACCGTGTCCGAATCGAAGAAGAGAAGCTTAGATCTTTAGGACTATGGGAAGTTCCTCATCCATGGCTCAACATGTTTGTCCCGAGATCTCAAATACTAGACTTTCATAACGGTGTCATCAAAAACATTCTTCTCAACCAAACTTCAACTTCTGGTGTTACTCTTTTCTATCCTACAAACCGACACAAGTAAGTATTCACTTTTTATTGTTTGCATATCTTTTGGCCTGTAGAAGTCATACTATATAATATAACTTATCATTTTTATATCTCATTAAAGTATGTTAACATGATGATTGGTATTATAAATAGATGGAACAATCGCATGTCAACGATGATACCAGAGGGAGATGTTTTCTACGTGATCGGATTTCTCCAATCAGCTGGTGGATCACATAATTGGCAAGAACTCGAAAAAGTTAACGACAAGATAATCCAGTATTGCGATAACTCGGGGATTAAGATTAAAGAATATTTGATGCATTACACAAGAAAGGAAGACTGGGTTAAGCATTTTGGACCAAAATGGGATGATTTCTTGAGGAAGAAAATTATGTTTGACCCCAAAAAACTATTATCTCCGGGACAAGACATCTTTAATTAACTTATATCTATATTTCTTAATTAAATATAGAACATGTCTTTAATTAACATGCGCCACGAACAAGTATGGTCATTGTCTATCTAGTGAATAGTTTAGTGATTTGGGATTTGATTGTTTACTTATTGGGACAATTACAAAAATGCCATTTTTTGTGTGCACATTTGCAAGAATACCACTTAGAGGTGTCCATTTACAACAATGCCACTAATTATAGATTTATAAAGCCTATATCTTAAAATTCTAAATCCTAAANAATGTTTTGACACCTAAAACCCCCTAAACACTCAAAACTAAACCCTAATAGAACATAATTAACCCAAACATAAATAATATAAAGAACAAATAATTTTGAAAAAATGACATTTTTGTAAAGATTTCAAAAATGTGGTATTTTTGTAAAGTGGTACACTACAAGAAAACAGGGTCGTTTCCGACGGCCAAAACCGTCGGAAATCCGTCGGAATAACCCCTATTCCGAGGGATTTCCGACGGTTTTGGTCCGTCGGTTCTATCTCGTCGGAAATAAATATCCGTCGGAAATCCATCGAAAAAATCTGATGGATTTTCGACGGAACAGGGATAACCGGAATCCGTCGAAACTCCGTCGGAAGTCCGTCGGCGATTGGAATCTGACGGACTTCCGACGGATATTTTTACCGACGGATTTCCGACGACGGTGGTGACCGACGGATTTCCGACGGCAGCTTTTACCGACGGATTTCCGACGTCGGCCACGCAAACCGACGG